GTCGATGCTGCCACTGCCCGGGTATTATAGCCATGCGCATGCTTGAAGTACCGGCCATACCGCTTAGTTGGAAGTGTGCGCTCACTTCAAAATTTGGTCTAATAAGCCATTCCACATTTCCAATAATGCACCTTATTTGTTCCCAAAATTTTGCATAAGCATTGCTTTCAATTTCTCTGGGGACGGCTGTAATACCCAGAAGAAATGAAAGACAAAGGTTATGCAAAGTTCCCCCCCCCCTCCCCGCCCCCAAAATAGTTAAGTTTGAATTAGACGTGCCTCTCAAATAAACGCTCCATGTCTCATGGACGCTCCCTCCTCCCCTCCCCCCCTTCCCACACACCCCCACACACACACTATAACTACTCTACAATATTAGGAAATAGGAAAAGGAGAAAAATCATTCAATTTATTCAGTTTCTTGCTTGATTAACGGTCTATATACTGCCTCAATTTGTAATAATCATAGCACTTTGTAATACCTGTCGCAATTTGTAATAAACCGTGTCGCGCATTGTAATAAAATTGCACTTTTTAATAAACTTAGCTGTCGTAACTTGCAATAATTGCATCGCACTTTGTAATGAACACGGCCCAGACGTATCAATGGATGAACTGGGTATCTGCTGTTTATAAACACTCTTGATATTTTCGCCGAAAGCATGCTGTCTATTAGATGATCATCTACGATAAAGATATTTGGCAAATTCTAAAGTCGTAACTATTGTCGACTGACAGTTATTAAAAAAGAGAGAGAGAGAGAGAATAATTGCTATGCATCCATGGAAACTTAACGGGGGAAGGTCGATAATTGCGCACCATTTATTACCGAAAACACTGTCGAGATCCAACTATCTAACTTTCCAACCTCGTCCCCAGGAAAGTACAAAAGTACAAAGTAGAAAAGTACAAAAGGCAAAGCAATTTTTGACAACCTGGCTTGAACAACTTGGGTAAAGAGGAATTCAAATCTGCGTAGATGGTTAGACAAAAATTTTTAGCATCGAGGCAATCAGTAACACAAACATTGCTTCAAATATATCACACAAATGCTATTCCTTTCATCAAGAAATATGTAGACGAGTTACAGCCATAATTTTTCTTGATTGACAGGGTCAATATTCGGAGAGAAACCATTAGCTATCAAGACCGACAAGCCCAAAACTGTATATATACCACTCAAATATTATCGTTGACATTTTAAACAAACCTCTCTGCTGCGTCGAGAAGTTTTGGCCGTATTCATGTTATCTCGAGGAATGGGTGTTGTGAAACAGAAGAATTCTTCGCACAGGTCAGTTAAGGCCCGTTTCCGAACGTCGGTCTACTGCCGTGCCGAGCTAAATTGATTGAATGAAATTCGACTTTAGCACGGCAGTAGCTAGCCTGTGAAAACATCCGTTTCTCCTCGGTCTTCGTCGATGGGGACGTTTCGCGCGTTTCCTCCTCGCGAAACTTCCCCGGCAGCGAAGAGCGAGGAGAACCCGGGGGGGGGGGGGGCACTGGGGAATTTTTTGGGGGGGTTTTTCCCCCCCGGGCCCCCAAATTGGCCCCCCGTTCAAAAAAAAAAATTCCCCTAAATTTAAACCCCCGTTCTAAAAATGGCCCATTTTTTTCCCCCCCTTCTTAGATTCCCCCGTAAAATTGATACCCCGT